CTTTAAGAAACTACCTTTATGGAGTATCAGATTTAGAAATACATACAGATCATCAACCTTTGACTTTCGCAGTCTCTTCGAGATATCCTAATGTAAAAATGAAAAGGTGGCATACCATTATTGAGGAATATGCTCCAAAAATGATTTATAAACCGGGAAAAATTAACATAGTCGCGGATGCATTATCCCGACAAAACTTAAATAATATAACTGATGATTCTTTAGAAATGGGTGTCCAGCATTCAGAAGAGAGCTCTGATAATACACAAATTCAAAAAACTAAAAAACCATTGAATCAATTCAAGCAACGAATACTTATTACTAAAGGTCTCTTTACCATTCATGAATCTATTAATAATTTTAATAAAACTAGGCATATTATTGCATATGATACCTTTGAAAATTTAATGACTATTCTAAAAGAATTCTTACAACCAAATCTTGTAACTGCAATATATTGTACACCTGAAGACTTATATGATATAAAGGTTATATTAAAAAAAAACATTTACTAACAAGTTTTTATTTACAAAAAATTTTCCCATGGATATACCAAACAAACAAGACCAGGGAACAATAATAGAGCAAACTCATAACAGAGCGCACAGGGGCTTTGACGAAAATAATAAACAAATCTCAACTTTTTACTATTGGCCAGAAATGCATAAACAATTTAAAGAATTCATTAGAAATTGTGAAATTTGTAATAAAAATAAATATGATAGACATCCCATAAAAATGCCTATTGGAGAGGTCCCTATACCTAAAGAGAAGGGAATACAAATACACATAGATATATTTTATGCACAATCATTAAAACTCATTACATGTATCGATAGTTATTCAAAGTTTTTGGTTATTAAAAAAAAGATAAGATTAATTGAAAAGATAAAGTGTTAGAGATATTACAAGGGTTTCCTAGTGCAAAGAGAATAACAATTGATAATGAACCAGGATTTCCTACGGTACAATTTAATTCCTAGTCCAGTCATTATAGTAAGTTTATATTTCTGCAAAAAGTGATAAAAGAAGATTTAGGAAATAAGGTTACAATTAACTACAGAAATAGAATAGTACATATTAAAGCTTGAATATATGTCATTCAAAATGAACACGGACGATTGACTATAACTTATTTAATGGACATTTCTAGCTTTGCATAATAGATTGTAGGGGATATAATATATAAACAATAATTGAAATCATTAATTCACAAAAACCAATGTATTAATAGTACAAAGTAATTTGAAAAAGGGTGAATTTATCTTTAAACGGGTTTTCCTCGAAACTATATATTCCAAATTGGCTGTAGTTGCAACTCGAAGACCACTTATCTGATCGCTTTGATGCTTATACCCGTAACAGGGTATATTAAGTAAGCCACCATATTTCTAACACTCAAAAGGAAACGTCGGAGACCCTACAATAAATATATACAAATGATCAGCATTACGAGCTAAGTCGATTTAGTCTTGTTCGTCTGTCCGTATAACCCGAACTATTCACTCAGTGTTTGAGAGAGAGATCTAAATGTTTGCACACGTCCATTTCTCAAGAAGAAGGTCATTTATGGAAACTACCGATATCAAACCACTATAACATATAGCTGCCATACAAATTGATTGACAAGATACCGTCACGAATTATTTATATGTCTTTAAGGTATAAGAAATGCAGCTGGGCTATTATAAAGTGCAGCCGAAGTTGACTTATTTTATTTAACTGTTTAAACCCGAGGCATGCTAACCTGACGAAGCGCAGTCTAATTGCAACACCTCATCTTTTACCGTCACGTTGGGAGATTTCTGCTGACTAATTGCAATGATGCTGGGCAATATAACAACATGATAAACATGTTGCTATGGTAACAAAAAAAAAAAAACAATTTACTAAAGTAATGTAATGTAATGGATGTAAATATTTATACAAAATTCTAGACACATACCTGTTTGCGTTATATCTTTTGCAGAGTTTTCGCTCATCCTATTAATATCTTCATATTTAGATTTTATTGAGAAATATTCTACCATTGGAAAGCCGATAGGAACATGATCAATCTCAATCAAAGATTTTAAATTATTCTTTTGGGGATGTATGCAGCTTTCCAAATGTAGCATCATTAACGCATATTTAGTATGATCTTGAATCTTTTGGTCCATCAAAGGTATATGTCGTATTGCGTTGACTAAGATTTCGGCTGATGATGGATCTAAATAAATATTTGCTGTAAACATCGAGAATAGAGTTGAAACAAAATCAGTCCGACATTCACAATTATATTTATTCAGTGATACATCATACATCCCACTAAAAGCTGTTAAAACATTCTCCTCAATAGCCTATGAAATTAAAAATATAAAAATTAAAAATTAGGATTGTATTACCGAAAAGAAAATACCTTGGTGATATCATATTTTAAATTACTTGGAGATGAATTTAGAACTTGGAATATGCATCTTTGTTTGGAAGAAATAAGTTCGCGAACAATTGCCTTCAAATTAGTTGCTGAAGAATAGATTTTACTTTTAAATATCTGTAAAAAAAAAAGTACATAAATATATTTTTTATTTTACTATGAATCATATTGTTTTTTCACAGGCACACATTCTTGAGACCATTCCATAACTTATTAATACTATACGAATAGTCGCAATGTTACGAGTATTTGCTCTGCTGCGAGTATTTGAATAAATGAAAAGTAGCTTTCGATTTTTGCTTGTTTTAAATTTGTGAAAATGAATGCAAAGTGGCTATAAACTTATATATGTATATATATATATATAATATGTATATACATATATATATATATATATAATATGTATATACATATATATATATATAATATGTATATACATATATATATATATAATACGTATATACATATATATATACAATTCTATAAATATAATATATTATATATAAACTTTATAGAAAATTAATGAACGATTACTATTCGAATAGTTGACAACGAACGGTTAACCGGATAGCCGAAAATGAGCGGTAAATGGAATAGTCGACGACTTACGACTACCCGGATACTGCAAACCGAATATTATTATTTGAATAATGCCCTATCCTGTTGATCCGGTTAGTCGATTAGTTAAGTACCGAGAGTTCTAATTCGAACTCTATTTAAAATCTGACTATACCACAACAATTTGTAACACCCGGTTTATTCATATAAGACCAAGTTTTTTAGAATTTACTAAAAAGAGCAATCCGTTCAATCTGAATTTTCTTTTCTCACACTTTATTTTATATTTATTTCACGTTTTCAAACATTTTACAAATTGAAAGAGTTCAGTTAAAAATCATCGTAACTGCAGACATTAAAGAATTAGCTAACATACAAATAATTCATGTTGCACATAAGTATTATATTTGGCCCTTTATTCTGATAAGAAAGACTAAGGAGACTTCATGGAAAAGCTTTTGCGAAATTGTTGATGGCTGTAATGAGTCCTCTAGGTTTAGGCGTATCCTCGCAAAGAACCCCGTCTCCGTGGGTTATCTTAAGGATGCAAATGGAAAGTGAACCTTGAGCAGTGAAGATGCACTTAGTATGCTGCTTAATGCTCACTTTCATAGCAAAACATCGCTTCTGGATGAATGACACATTTCTTGGACGATGAAATGGTTCAAACCATTCAAGTCCCCCGAGTCGAATGCCATCATACAACTACAACAGGCTGTTAAGGTGACATGCAACTAGCTGGGATCCATCTATGCGAAGTGCATAGACTGGGATATATTCCCCTTGGAGGCGAGTCGGAGTTACGTTCATCCCGAGGGCTGGTAAGAGCTCCCACGTCACGGCCAAGGATTTTAGACAGATCAGCCTCTTCTCTTTCTTACTGAAAACTTTTGAGTTGAATTTGAGGCTGATCTGTCTAAAATCCTTGGCCGTGACGTGGGAGCTCTTACCAGCCCTCGGGATGAACGTAACTCCGACTCGCCTCCAAGGGGAATATATCCCAGTCTATGCACTTCGCATAGATGGATCCCAGCTAGTTGCATGTCACCTTAACAGCCTGTTGTAGTTGTATGATGGCATTCGACTCGGGGGACTTGAATGGTTTGAACCATTTCATCGTCCAAGAAATGTGTCATTCATCCAGAAGCGATGTTTTGCTATGAAAGTGAGCATTAAGCAGCATACTAAGTGCATCTTCACTGCTCAAGGTTCACTTTCCATTTGCATCCTTAAGATAACCCACGGAGACGGGGTTCTTTGCGAGGATACGCCTAAACCTAGAGGACTCATTACAGCCATCAACAATTTCGCAAAAGCTTTTCCATGAAGTCTCCTTAGTCTTTCTTATCAGAATAAAGGGCCAAATATAATACTTATGTGCAACATGAATTATTTGTATGTTAGCTAATTCTTTAATGTCTGCAGTTACGATGATTTTTAACTGAACTCTTTCAATTTGTAAAATGTTTGAAAACGTGAAATAAATATAAAATAAAGTGTGAGAAAAGAAAATTCAGATTGAACGGATTGCTCTTTTTAGTAAATTCTAAAAAACTTGGTCTTATATGAATAAACCGGGTGTTACAAATTGTTGTGGTATAGTCAGATTTTAAATAGAGTTCGAATTAGAACTCTCGGTACTTAACTAATCGACTAACCGGATCAACAGGATAGGGCATTATTCAAATAATAATATTCGGTTTGCAGTATCCGGGTAGTCGTAAGTCGTCGACTATTCCATTTACCGCTCATTTTCGGCTATCCGGTTAACCGTTCGTTGTCAACTATTCGAATAGTAATCGTTCATTAATTTTCTATAAAGTTTATATATAATATATTATATTTATAGAATTGTATATATATATGTATATACGTATTATATATATATATATGTATATACATATTATATATATATATATGTATATACATATTATATATATATATATATATGTATATACATATTATATATATATATATACATATATAAGTTTATAGCCACTTTGCATTCATTTTCACAAATTTAAAACAAGCAAAAATCGAAAGCTACTTTTCATTTATTCAAATACTCGCAGCAGAGCAAATACTCGTAACATTGCGACTATTCGTATAGTATTAATAAGTTATGGAATGGTCTCAAGAATGTGTGCCTGTGAAAAAACAATATGATTCATAGTAAAATAAAAAATATATTTATGTACTTTTTTTTTTACAGATATTTAAAAGTAAAATCTATTCTTCAGCAACTAATTTGAAGGCAATTGTTCGCGAACTTATTTCTTCCAAACAAAGATGCATATTCCAAGTTCTAAATTCATCTCCAAGTAATTTAAAATATGATATCACCAAGGTATTTTCTTTTCGGTAATACAATCCTAATTTTTAATTTTTATATTTTTAATTTCATAGGCTATTGAGGAGAATGTTTTAACAGCTTTTAGTGGGATGTATGATGTATCACTGAATAAATATAATTGTGAATGTCGGACTGATTTTGTTTCAACTCTATTCTCGATGTTTACAGCAAATATTTATTTAGATCCATCATCAGCCGAAATCTTAGTCAACGCAATACGACATATACCTTTGATGGACCAAAAGATTCAAGATCATACTAAATATGCGTTAATGATGCTACATTTGGAAAGCTGCATACATCCCCAAAAGAATAATTTAAAATCTTTGATTGAGATTGATCATGTTCCTATCGGCTTTCCAATGGTAGAATATTTCTCAATAAAATCTAAATATGAAGATATTAATAGGATGAGCGAAAACTCTGCAAAAGATATAACGCAAACAGGTATGTGTCTAGAATTTTGTATAAATATTTACATCCATTACATTACATTACTTTAGTAAATTGTTTTTTTTTTTTTGTTACCATAGCAACATGTTTATCATGTTGTTATATTGCCCAGCATCATTGCAATTAGTCAGCAGAAATCTCCCAACGTGACGGTAAAAGATGAGGTGTTGCAATTAGACTGCGCTTCGTCAGGTTAGCATGCCTCGGGTTTAAACAGTTAAATAAAATAAGTCAACTTCGGCTGCACTTTATAATAGCCCAGCTGCATTTCTTATACCTTAAAGACATATAAATAATTCGTGACGGTATCTTGTCAATCAATTTGTATGGCAGCTATATGTTATAGTGGTTTGATATCGGTAGTTTCCATAAATGACCTTCTTCTTGAGAAATGGACGTGTGCAAACATTTAGATCTCTCTCTCAAACACTGAGTGAATAGTTCGGGTTATACGGACAGACGAACAAGACTAAATCGACTTAGCTCGTAATGCTGATCATTTGTATATATTTATTGTAGGGTCTCCGACGTTTCCTTTTGAGTGTTAGAAATATGGTGGCTTACTTAATATACCCTGTTACGGGTATAAGCATCAAAGCGATCAGATAAGTGGTCTTCGAGTTGCAACTACAGCCAATTTGGAATATATAGTTTCGAGGAAAACCCGTTTAAAGATAAATTCACCCTTTTTCAAATTACTTTGTACTATTAATACATTGGTTTTTGTGAATTAATGATTTCAATTATTGTTTATATATTATATCCCCTACAATCTATTATGCAAAGCTAGAAATGTCCATTAAATAAGTTATAGTCAATCGTCCGTGTTCATTTTGAATGACATATATTCAAGCTTATACATCGTGATATTTCAATTATTGTTGAATGGACCCTCTCTATCTGACCATTTGTGGTGCTATGATTTGGGTTGCAGAAATAAATTTCAATCTGAAGTCTCTGCATCAGGGATTTAAATTGTACCGTAGTAAATCCTGGTTCACTATCGATTATTATTCTCTTTACATTAGGGAAACTTTGTAATATATCTAACACTTTATCTTCTAAATTAATCTTATCTTCAATTTGTTTAATAACCAAAAACTTTGAATAACTATCGATACATGTAATGAATTTTAATGATTGTGCATAAAATATATCTATGTGTATTTGAATTCCCTTCTCTTTAGGTATAGGGACCTCTCCAATAGGTATTTTTATGGGATGTCTATCATATTTATTTTTATTAAAAATTTCACAATTTCTAATGTATTCTTTAAATTGTTTATGCATTTCTGGCCAATAGTAAAAAGTTGAGATTTCTTTAATATTTTCGTCAAAGCCCCTGTGCGCTCTGTTCTGAGCTTGCTCTATTATTGTTCCCTGGTCTTCTATGTTTGGTATATCCATGGGAAAATTTTGTGTAAATAAAAACTTGTTAGCAAATGTTTCTTTTAATTTAACCTTTATTTCATATAAGTCTTCAGGTGTACAATATATTGTAGTTACAAGATTTGGTTGTAAAAATTCTTTTAGAATAGTCATTAAATTTTCGAGTGTATCATATTCAATAATATGTCTAGTTTTATTAAAATTATTAATAGATTCGTGAATGGTAAAGCGACCTTTACTAAGAAGTATTTGTTGCTTGAATTGATTCAATGGGTTGTTTTTTTTCTTGAATTTGTGTATTATCAGAACTCTCTGCTGAATGTTGTGTGTCCATTGATGAATCATCAGTTATATTATTTAAGTTTTGTCGGGATAAGGCATCCGC